AACTAACGCCCAGGTCCCCCAACACACTTTATTCACAGCCTGACCTCGTCCATGCCCCCTCTCCACCACACAGGGGAGTCCCGCTGTCACCTGCCCCCCTCCTAGGGTCCCCACCCCATCCCTACACGGGCGTCCCAGTGTCACTTCCCGCCCCCGAGCTCCCACCCTCGTGTCCCTCCCCAGTTCCACTATTTACAGCTCTGGGATGTGGCACCGACAGGGGACAGCAAGAGATACCGAGGGTGACGCAGGGCAAGGGGTGGGCTTGGGGACATCAGCTGTGTCGCTGTCCTGTCCGTGTGTCCTTCCCCTTGGAGTCACCGTGTCCTGTCCTTGTCCCAGTTCGGGTACCCTCCCACTGTCTCCCAGCTTGGTTTCACCTGTGGCACAACTCGAGTGACCCCAGCCCCGTCACCACGTCCTGCCCATGAAACACTCCGTGTCCCCAGGCATGGTGACACGATGTCCCCTGTCTGTGGCACAGTTCCTGTGTGCCTCACCAGGGTGGTCCACAGTCTGTGTGTCCCCGTGCCCCCGCAGCGCACCAACAGCGGATGCTGCCAGAACGTTGTCCAACTGTCCCTGTGTTCCCCACTGCGGTGTCCCCCTTAGGACATGAAGAGTGGACAGTACTCCAACTGTCCTTGTGTCCCCACACCCCGGTGCCACTGTCCCGTGCCCCCTCAGGGCACAAAGAGCGGGCAATGCCCCAAGCAGAGCAAGGGCAGTGTCCCACTGTCCCTGTGCCCTCTCCAGTGTCCCCATGTCCTCTCAGGGCACGAAGAGCGGGCGGTGCCCCCGGCGGTGCCTCCTGAGCGCGGCGCTCCGGGCGAAGCTCTCGCCACACTCCACGCAGATCAGCGGTTCCTGGCCGCTCTCGCTCCCCGCGGGCCCCTCGCCCTCGCCCCCCACCCGCGGCCCCTTCAGCGCCCTCGGGGCACCCGTGGGGTGGGTGCAACGCCGTGGCCGCGCCGCCCCTGGCCCGGCGTGGGTGCGCTGGTGCTTGATGAGGTTCTTGCTCTGCGTGAAGCTCTTGCCGCACTCGGCGCAGCCGTACGGGCGCTCCCCGGTGTGGATGCGCTGGTGCTGGATGAGGTTGGAGCTCCAGGAGAAGCTCTTGCCGCAGTGGCCACACCTGTACGGCTTCTCCCCGGTGTGGGTGCGGCGGTGCTGCACCAGGTGCGAGTTCTGCGAGAAGCTCTTGCCACACTCGCCGCAGGTGCTGGGCCGCTCGCCCGTGTGCGTGCGCTGGTGCCGAAGCAGCTTGGACCAATGGCTGAAGCTCTTGCCGCACTCGTTGCAGATGAAAGGGCGCTGGCGGCCCCCGCCTCGCCTCCCTCCGCCCTCCTCGGAGCCCCCGGGGGCCGAGCCGGGGGTCCCGCGGGGCGGCGGGGGGCGCAGGGGGCTGTGCGGGATCACCGTGCGGATGATCTCGTGCGGCAGCACCTCGGCCTCGCCGTCGCTCACGATGCCATCATCGTCTGGGGGTGGCACGGGCAGGGGGTGAGAGAACAGAAGGGGCTGGGACCCCAACCCGAATCTTTGCTGTGACACTAAAAGGGGCTGGGACCCCTACACAAATGTTTATTGTACCCATAAAACGGGCTGGGCCCTCCTTCCCCAATGCTCATTGTGCCCTAAAAGGGCGCCTGGAGCCTCCCCAAAATGTTTGTTGTGACCCAAAAAGGGCTGCACCCCTCACCAAATATTCATTGTGATCCAAAAGGGGCCAGACTCCCATCCCAAATGTTCATTGAATCCCAAAAAGGGGCTGTGCGCCCTCCTGGAGTTTCTGGAGCCCCCTCAGAAGTGTTCTGAGCCCCCCTCAAATGTCTCTACCCCCTTCCAGTGTCTGGAGACCCCCAGAAGTGCCTTGAACCCCCTTCTTGGGGTGCCTGGATCCCCCCAAAATTTCCTGTACCTCTTTTCTGGGTTATCTGGAGCCTCCCAATCCCCCCCCCCCCCACTTTTGGGGTCTCCCTCTCACCAATGAAGACCCTCCGGACCATGTCACCCTCGTCCGAGTCCTGCAGCTCCACCACGTCTGGCTCGTCCCGGTCCATGGGGGCTCCCGGGGAGGCTGTGGCATCAAAGGGGGCCCTGAGCACCCTAAAACCCCCCAGGACTCTCCCGAGCTGCAGAAACCCACACACTCCCCCAATTCCAAAGGATTGTTTGCATCTTGTTCTGCATTCCTGCTGTGTCCCCCAAATTTCTCAGTGTGACTCTAAAATCCTCTCTGTGACCCCAAATCCCTTTGTGTCCCCATCAATTTCCCTGTACCCCCCCTAAATCCTTCTATGTTACCCCCCCCAAACCCTTTAGGGTGATCCCAAATCCTCTCGTGCCCCCCTAAATCTCATCCCCCCAAAAACCTCTCTGCCCCCAAACTTATCTGTTCCCCCCAAACTCTCTGTGTCACCCCAAATCTCTTCATGTCCCCCCAAATCCCACAGTGTAACCTCAAACTCCTCCATATGATCCCAAATCCCTCTGTGCCCCCCCAAATCACCCTGTACTCCCCAATTCCTCCCCCACCTGCTCTCTGTTGGGAGGTCCTGCAGCTGCTCCAGACTCAGTCCCAAAAATCTTGGGGGGGGGGGGAGGGGTGGAGGAATGGAGGGACACAGATGGGGGTGGGTCACAAAGCGAGGAGTGCCCCCCAAAATCACTCGGGGCCTCCCAAATCACCCAGGGTCTCCGTAGATTACCCCCAGTCCCCCCCATTTTTCCTCCCCCCATTTAATTTTGGGAAGGGAGCACAAAAGAAAGACAGAGCCCCAGGAACCTTCCCCAGAATTCTCCCCCCACTCCAAATCCAATATAGGGGACGACTCCCAGAGTTTTTTAGGGATCCTCCCTTTCCTGTCCCCCCTCCCAAAACGGTTCATCCACAGCCTCCCCCATCAAATCCAACATGGGGGTATCCCAATTTTTTTGGAGGGGTCCCCACTCTCATTTTCTCCATTTCTGCCCCCCAAACCAGTGCGTGATCCCTCTCCCCAGGCCCAAATCCACCTCCCCTCCCATCTCAAATCCAAGCGTGTGGTTATCCCCAGCTGCGGAGGCGGTGCTCCCAAATTTTTGTGGGGCGTCCCCACTCTCCTTTTTCCCTCTTTTCCAAAGCTAAAAAAGGCACCTCCCCACTCCTGTTCCATTGCCGCCCCTGCCATCGCCGCCCCCCCCCAAATCCAAGACCGAGGGTATCACATATCGGGGAGGGGTCTCCTAAATTTGGGGGAAGGGGGGGGTGAGGGGGGTTAGAGAGAGAGTGTTCCCCACTCTCCTTTTTCCATCTTTTCCAACCCTAAAAAAGGCGTCTTATTTCCACTGCCCCCGCTGCTTCCCGGCTCCAATGCATCGCTCCCCTCCATCCCCTGGGCATTCCCAGTTGGAAGGGGGGGGGGGTTCTCCCAAAATTTTTTTGGGGGGTCCCCGCTCTCTTCCCTCCCCTTTCCACCCCCAAACCCCGCCGTTCATCCACATCCCCCCCCATCCCAAATCTTTTGCCACCCCTCCGCCATCGCCTCCCCATCCCAAATACAAACCCGGGGGCAAATCCAACTGGTGGGGTGGGTCTCCCAAATTTTTTGTTTGAGAGTTCCCACTCTCCTTTTTCCCTCATTTCCATCCCCCCAACGGCGCCCCCTCTCCATCGCCTCCCCCATCCAAAATCCAACATCGGTGTATCCCAAATTGGGGGGGGGGGTGAGATGTCTCGCAATTATTTGTTTTTTTTGGAGGGGGGTCTCCGCTCTTTTCCTTCCCCTTCCCCCCCAAAAACGGCGTCTCCCTGCCCTTCCCCCGCGCCCCTGACTCACCTCGGCGGCTCCGCGGAGCGGGACGGGCCGGGGGGGTTCCGGAGGGGCCTGGGGGTGGCTCCGGGGGTCCCGTCGGGCTCGGAGGTGTGGGGGGGTCGTGGCGGGGGCGTCCCCCGGGCGCGAGGCGGGAGCGGGGCCGGGAACAGGAAGGTCCCGTCATCCCATTCCCCGCCGGATGCGCCACTGGGAAAAAAGCGGGGAAAAAACGCTAGGAAAAGCGGGGTGGAAACCTTGGAAAAACGGGAATTTGGGCGGGGGAAACCCCTAGGGAAAAAAAAAGGGCGGATCCCAGCAGGGACACCCCCAAACCGCCCGCTTTTGGTGGGGGGGGGAATTATGGGAATTCCTCGTATTGTTGGGCTTTTGTTATTTTGGGAAGGGGGGATGTTTTCCAAGCGGGAAATGGATCGGGGCGGGGGGAGTGGACAGGGTGGGTTTGGGGGGACTAAAGACAGGGGGCCCCCCAAACTTCTCCCCCACCTTCCTGCTTTGTGTAACGGCAGCGACGCGTTTCCTGCCCCCCCGGGAATTAAAAATGGTTGGAATTACGCAACGAGGGAGGACGGCTCGGCAGCGGCATCCAGGGATTCCGGGGACGGGGATTGGGGCTTCGGCATGTCCCCTGCGCCCCCCCCCCCCCCCCCCCCCCCGAATCCCTGATTGACCCCCCAGAGCGTTTATTGGGGGGTTTCCTGCCTCCCCGGCCCCAGGAATAAAAAATGGTTGGAATTACACAATGAGGGATCACGGGATCCAGAGATAGCGGCATTGGGGGGTAGAGGGATCGGAGTTTTGGGGTGGCCCCTGTGCCCCTCCAGATTCCCCCTCACGAGGGCCCGGAGGTGCATTTCTGCCCTCTCCCCCCATCCCTAGAATTAAAAATTGTTGGAATTGCACAATGAGGCCGGAGGGTTCAACAGTGGCGTGGAGGAATTTGGGGATCAGGTAATAGTAGGATTGAGGTTCTGGGGTGCCTCCTGCACCCTCCAAACCCCGAGGCCCTCCCCCGATATTCTGGGGATGCTTTTCCTGCCCCCTTCCTTCCCCCCAACAAGGATTAAAAATGGTTGGAATTAGACAACGAGGCCGAGGATCATGAGATTCTGGGATTGTGGGATTGGGTTTTTGGGGTGCTCTTTCTACATGCCACACCTCCAAAGCCCCCCAGAGGGTTTGGGGATGCTGGGGTAGGAGTAGGGGCCCCCCATCTCTTTCCCCCACCCCAGGCACCGGTTCCTGGAGGATGGGAAAAGCTCCGCATGGCCATACTGAGATCACTGTGGATGACCCCAAAATCTCACAGTGGGACAATGTCATCACTCAGCTGGTGTCCCCAAATCTGCATGGTGGGACAAGGCTGCTTGGGGACCTTTTACTGATGGCATCAGCAGATCCATGTGCCCAAGTCCCAGGATTTCCATCCCATCCCCGTTGTGGAGTCCCTGTCCCCACCCTGCCGTCCCCATCCCAGCATCTCCATCCCAATGTCCCCATCCCCATCACAGTGTCTCCATCCCCATCATAGTGTCCCCATCCCAACATCCCCATTCATGTGTCTCCACTGTCCCCACGGGATCATCCTGGTGTGGATCATCCTGGTGTAGGATCATCAACCTTAGGGTGTCCCGGTTTCCATCCTGGTGTCTCCATCCTCATCCTGGCCCCTCATGGCATCTCCATCTTGGTGTCCTTATCCCCATCCCAGTTTCCCTATCCCCATTGAGAGTCCCCACAGACCCGGGTATTACTGTCCCCCATCCTGGTGTCCCCCATCCTGGTTTCCTTGTCCCCATCCAGGTGGCTCTTTTTCCACTGTTTTCATCTGTTTTCCACTGTTTTTCCACATTTTCCACTCTTTTCATCTCTTTCCTTTCTTGCTCTTTTTATATCCTTTTTCTGCCATTTTCCCCCCTCCCTTTTCCCGCCCTTTTTCCCCTCACGTTTCCCGCCTTTTTCCCCCCCTCACATTTCCCGCCTTTTTTCCCCCCTCACGTTTCCTCCCCTTTTTCACCTCACACTTCCAGACCTTCCTCCCTCACATTTCCATCCCTTTTTTCTCTCACCTTTTCCCACCCTTTTCCCTTCACCTTTTCCCCTCATTCCCTCCCAGGCTCTCACGTGCAGAGGCATCAGAGGCGGCTCCTCACCCCGGCCCCGCCATGGACTGGTTCCACTGCTGGTGCTGCTTCCGCCAAGAGGGCGCCCGGTTCGCCATCACCACCTGCGGCCACATCCTGTGCGAGGACTGTGGGGGCACGGGTAAAATTGAGGAAAACTCCCAATTTAAGCCTTTAAAAAAGGGGGAGAGAAAAGGGGGAGTTAACTTTGATTTAACCCCTTAAAATGAGGGGGAAAGGAGGGGTCACTTCAACTCAAGCAAATAAAATGGGCTCTACGCTCAATTTAAACCCCTAAAATACCAGGAAAAGAGAGTTTCCCCTCAGTTTCTATCTTCCAAATGATGGGAAATGGAAGATCCTGCCTCAATTGAAAACTCTAAAATGAGACGAAATGGTCCATTTTCCTCAAGGAACACAATTTTTGGGACTTTCGGACACATTTTTCTTTCACTTTTCTCACTTTTTTTCTCCCTCTACCACAGGTCCCTGCCCGGTCTGTGCCACTGCATGCCACTACCTGCCTCTATCCCAGCAGGCCAGTGCCCACCATCTTGTACCCCATCTCCCCTCACCCCTTCCCAGCCTTTTCCCCTCCCGTTTCCCAACCTTCTTCCCATCCTTTTGACACCCCTATGCCCAACAGATGCACCCAGAGGTGAAGGTTTTCTTCAAGAACCCAGCAGACCTCGCCCTCAAGCACCTCGCCCACATCACGAAGGTGAGGAGGACACAGGTGATGGGGGATGAGGTTCCACCACTGTCCCCAACCCCACACGCTGGGGGCGTACAAGGGGGTGACCCACGTCCCCCAGGTGTGCCAGTTCCAGCTGGGACAGGCGCAGCTGAAGGTGGACACGCACCGGGACAGAGCTTGGCGAGCACGGGCAGAGCTGGAGAAGGCCAGAGAGGAGCTGGGGGAGATGAGTAGGTGAGTGGGACACCATGGTAGGGGGTCCTCCATCTTGGGCTCCTCTGGGCATGTGGGTGAGGCAGCACTCCTTGGTCAACATCTTGGTGAGAGTCCTCATCCTTCTGGCCACTTTCCTTCTCAGGGAGGTGGAGTCATTTCGCCGGGAGAATGCAGAGCTGCGCCGCATGCAGGTGGCCCCTAAAGCCTCCTTCCCCTTCCCTGGCCCCCAAACTGCCCCCCAAAGCCCCCCCCCCCCTCCCTCACCCCGAAATTGCTCTCACAAAGCCCCCCTGCCCCTTGCCTAACTTTCAAGCTGCCCCCCAAAGTTCTCCTGCCCCTTCCCTCACCCCAAAGCTGTCCCAACAAACTTCCTCTCCCCCAAAACTGCCCTCCAAATCTCCCCACAGCTATCCCCGGGCTGGCGCTGGAGCAGCCACAGCAGCACCCCCCGTCCCTCCCCCACACAGTCAGGTAAGTGCCTCCCAAATTTTTAAGGAGGTCTTCCACACCCTAAAACCCCTCCCCATCCCCTCCTTGTTCATAGGAGTCTCCCCAAATTTTCCGTCTCCCTTCCAGTCACCGCGCAGCCCCGCCGGCAGCTGAGCAGCCAAGTGGTCAGGTAAGGGGGGGGCATCCTAAATTTGGGGTGGGATTCTCCCAATTGAAAAGGGGGGTCCCCGAAACCTCCCACCACTCTTTTGCAGCCGCTTGTCCTCACTGGAGCCCCCTCGGTCCCACAGCACCCCAGGATGGCAGGTGAGACCTCACCCCAAACAGGAGCCACCCCAAAATAGGGGCTGTTCCTACAATGCTTTGCGTGCCCCCCACAGGTTGGCGTAGCCTACAGAGATTCAGGGACTCCTCTGGTCTCCAGCATGGGTGAGCAACTCCAAATCCTACAGGATTTACCCCAAAATAATGTCCTAAGCCCCACCCTTCAGCTCCAAGCCTCACCCCCTTTCCTTATCTCCAAGGAGGGACCCCCAAACCCCTGATCTCTCCCCAAAGGGACCCCAAACCCCCACAAAAGGAGCCCAGAGATCCGCAAACCCCCTACAGAACCCCAAGCCCTCTCAGAGAAACCCTTCAGCGCTGACCCCGATCTGTGGGGTGACCTCAAAACCCCCTAACACCCCTTTCCCTCCTTAGTGCCCCCCACGGCTGGGACAACCGAAGGGCAGGTACTGGGGGCAGTGGGAGGGACTGGGAGGGGACTGGGGGCCTTGGGATAAATCGAGAGACGGGGAGAGGGGGATCTGGGGGGACTGGGATAAACTGGGAGGGACTGGGATAAACTGGGAAGGGTCACTGGGAGGGACTGGAAGGGGGGATTTGTTTACTGGGAGAGTATTTGGGTTCCTGGAAGCACTGGGAGGGGGTCTTGGTGTTACTGGGAGCACTGGGAGGACTCCAGCTCCGCCCCATCCCCTTTGCCCCCCCCCTTTATCCTTCCCCTTTTCCTCCTAAATCAAGACAAAATCTTCTAATTCAGTAGCTAGTCCCCAAATTCAGTAGCCACATCCCCCAATTCGGTAGCCAAGCCCCTGCAAAAGTTATTAGCCACTCCCCGGAATGTGGTAGCCAACCCCAAAATGCGGTAGCCACCCCGAAATTCGGTAGCCAGGACCATTTCCCCTTATTTAGGGTTCTGCTCTGCGGCCGGCGAGGGAGGGGCCCTCCCAGTGGGATCCCAATCCGCGGCCATAAAGGACAAACAGGGACCTCTGAAGGGATCCGAGGCTCCTGCACGGGAGCTCCGGCGCTTCTCTGGAGGTGGCTGGGGACAGAAGTTAAAAATGAATTTTAAAAATGCCAATTTTGTGTCCGTTTGTGGGGCCGGGGGGGAGGAGGGAGCGTGGCCTCCACCGCGTGGCCCCCGCCACCGGTTACGTTTCGAGGTTGTGTTGCCGGTGCTGCGTTCGTATTGGATTGTGCCCCGGTGTGGGCGAGCAAAAGGGGAAAGCGACGTTTGGGGGGAAATTAGGGGAAATTGGGGAGAAGTGAGGGGGTTGGGGGGGGGGTCTATGGAGGAGGGGCCTTCGTTATCGTGGAAAAGCGCGGATTGGTGGAAATCCGCTAGGAGGCGCGGCGTAAAGGCGGTCGGTGCTGAGGATTGGACGCAAAGCATGGAGGGGGCGGGACCGGCGGAGGCGCCGGAGTCGGATTGGTGGCGAGGAGGGCGGGGCGGACACGTGGTGTGACGTAACTTCTGGTTAGCGGCATTTCCGCGTCTAGCTTGGCCCGCGGTCGCCGCTGCTCCGGGAACGCTCCGGGAGCGGCCCGGGTCCCTCAGAACTGCCCCGAGACCACTCCGGATTCCTCCGCAACAGCTGCGGCTCCACCTCCGGACTCTCCTGCGGTACGGCCCGGCCCAGGCCACTCCTCTCCCCGCCCCGGGTCCGGCGCGGGGCTCGGCGGGGCCGGCCGGGGATGCCGCGGCGCGGCCCGCGCCATGTGGTACATCATGCAGAGCATCCAGAGCAAGTACTCGTTGTCCGAGCGCCTTATCCGCACCATCGCCGCCATCCGCTCCTTCCCCCGGGACAACGTGGAGGATCTCATCGGCCGGGTGAGCCCCCGCAGCCGGGACATCCCCCCTCTTCCGCGGCTGGGCCGGCCTGCTTGAGTCCCCCGAGGGCTCCGGGTCCATCTGACGGGCCCTGCCGAGCTGTCCTCGGCTGTCTCGGTCCCTGCGGAGCCTCCGTGAGGACTCCCTGGCGGGATTTTCCGATCCCGAGAGGGGAAGATAAGGGCATCTCCGGTTGGTTTAGAGACTCTAGGCTTTTCCTTCGCCCCTCCGGATCCCCGAGGCCGGGGGAGTCTCCGGCACTGTTTCGTGACAGTGAATTGGTGAAACACAAGCGGGAGCCGGGATTAAGACCGGGAGCGTTCTTGCGAATGAACCCACGGGATTTCTCTCAATTAAGCCTTTCTGAGGGGATAGGAAGGGCAGGAAAAGGGTGGGATTTGCTGACCCCGAGGCGATTCCTGCCCTTGGCAGTTCCTGCAAACCCCGGGATTTGTGTGAATTGACCCTTTCTGAAGGGATGGAAGGGGGGAGTTCCTGACCCGAGGGGGTTCCTGTGCTCCCCAGGGCGCCGATGTGAACTGCCTGCACGGCACCCTCAAACCCCTGCACTGCGCCTGCATGGTGGCTGATGCCGACTGCGTGGAGCTCCTGCTGCAAAAAGGAGCTGAGGTAAAGCTTTGGAAAAACCGAAAACAGATGGAAAATGCCGTCGAAAGGGGTGGGGAAGTCGGGAGGGGCTGATAAACAGCTGGGGTTAAAGCTGATGTGTTTAAGTAGGATTTTGGGAAAAAGTTATTCCCTCAGAGTGTTATGGGGCACAAGCTCCAAAGACTGGGGTTTGGATAATGCTCCCAGCATCAGGCGGGATTTTTGAGTGTCCTGTGCAGGGCCAGGGCTTGGATTTGATGATCTTTGTAGGTCGTTTCCAGCTCAGGATATTCCGTGGGTTTGTAAACTCTCGCAAAGTAGCATCAGGGGAATGTTTGTTGTCCCAGCAGGGAGGGAACTTTTGGGCTGAGGTTTTGGGAGCAGAGGAAGGATTCAAACCTAAATTTTTGTGCTGAGCTGTTGGGGAGGCTGAGGAGGGAGAATTAAAACCTAAATGTTTGCGCTGAGATTTTGGGAAGGTGAGGAGATAGGATTGAAACCTAAATTTTTGCGCTGACGTTTTGGGAGGTTGGGAAGGAAGAATTAAACCCTAAATTTGCTGTATTCTTTTACCCCACTTTCCCCTGGCTACATTTGGTACCTTTGACTGTTCCTTTGCTGCCAGATCCAGCTGGGGCTTCTCCCTGACTCCCAAACCTTTATTTTCTCCCCCAGGTGAACGCCCTGGATGGCTACAACCGCACAGCCCTTCACTATGCAGCAGAAAAAGATGAAACCTGTGTGGAGATTTTATTGGAGTACGGAGCCAACCCCAACGCTCTGGATGGCAACAAGGACACACCGCTGCACTGGGCGGCCTTCAAGAACAACGCCGAGTGTGTGCGGGCCCTGCTGGCCAACGGCGCCCTGGTCAATGCACTGGACTACAACAACGACACCCCCCTGAGCTGGGCGGCCATGAAGGGCAACCTGGAGAGCGTCAGCGTCCTGCTGGACTTCGGCGCCGAGGTGCGCGTGGTCAACCTGAAGGGCCAGAGCCCCATCTCGCGCCTGGTGGCGCTGCTGGTGCGGGGCCTGGGCACGGAGCGTGAGGATTCCTGCCTGGATTTGCTGCACAGAGCCACGGGACACTTCGAGCTGCGCAAGAATGGGAGCCTGCCCTGGGAGGTGGCCCGGGACCCGCAGCTCTGCCAGCGGCTGACGCTGCTGTGCTCGGCACCAGGCACGCTGCAGGCGCTGTCGCGCTACGCCGTGCGCCGCTCGCTTGGCCTGCGCTTCCTGCCCCAGGCCGTGCAGCAGCTGCCACTGCCTGCCTGCCTCAAGGAGTACCTGCTGCTGCTCACCTGAGGGAGGGACACCCACCCTTCCCCCAGATCACCGCTGGCTCCTGGGAGAGGTTCCCCGCTCACTTCGCGACTGGCCGGGTTTCTCTCCGTGGTTTTTGTTCCTCTCGGCCACCCGGAACCCCGCTGGCCCCTCAACACTTCCTCCATTTCCTCCCCCTGTCCCGTCCATTTTGTCTTCTCATGGTTCCTCCTCTCTGTCTCCTCCATTTTTCCCCCCGTCCCCTCCACTTCTCCCCCTGTCCCCGCTTTCACCCTCCTGCAATGAACAATATCCCTCTGATGGCAAATTATATCCCAGCTGTTGGATTAATCTGTTTTTCCCTTCTTTTTTGGGGTTGGTTTTTTTTTTTTTTTTTTTTTTTTTTGCTTTTTTTTTTTTTTTTTGCTTGTAGTTGTTTTTTTTTTTTTTTTTTTTTTTTTGCCTTGGGAAAGGAAGGATTTAAAGGAAAACTCTCCTTTGAGGAAAGACCCAATGCAATTGAGGGTTGGGATGCAGAGAATTCCTCTGAGATGTGTTGGCTGAAAATCAAAAGATCCAGGTTTGGATCTGAACTTTTGCAGGGCTGAAATTCTTGTGGGCCAAGGAAATCTCCAGAGAGCTTCACATGGAGCTGATGGCTTCCCTCCCACCTCCTCAGGCTCTTTCTGAGGTTTCCCACCAGGAATTCACCCTATGGTGTTGGTTTGGGGGGGGGTTTTGGGGATCTATTCCAGGATCCAATGGAAGAGCAGCTCTCCGAGGTGAAACCAAGCAGCTAAAAACTGTCATTGTTATTTTCTGGGAGGAACTTGGGGACGAAGGCTCAAATTCCACCTCTTTTATCCCTCTTTGTGATGCTGGGCAGTGAAATCATGAGGATCAGGAGGGATTTGGGGTCAGTGCGATCCAGGTTTGCCTTTCCATGGATTCACAGAGACCTGGAGCACTTGGACAAGCACTGAATTTATTGAAACATCTCCATTTTGTGACTTTTAACCCTAAAAACCTCAACTTCCACCACCCATCCTCATCTCATCACACTATTACTTGGGGACCGCTTCTCAAAATCCCATAAAATCCCTGAAAAGCCCCAAAAGGCTGTGGGAAAAGGGGATTTTTGGGGTTCCTCAGGGCTGGCTGTGGCCACTGTCCCTGTCACAGGGTGGCTTCAGGGACCAGGACCTTGCGGGTCAGGTGCTCCAGGTGCGCTGTCTCCGACGTGTCCAGCTCGATGTTGTACTTGGCCAGGATTTTGAGGATGGGCCGCAGCCTCAGCCACCACTGCTCCTTGGGGATGCGGTGCCTGAGGGGACAGGACAGGGACGGGCTGGGGACATCCCTGGGGAGGGATCCCGAGCTTTGTCCCACCTTTCCGGGTGGGGAAGGGAGGGGCACGCACTCGAAATCCGTCTGCTGGCGCAGCTCGGCGATGGGCTGGAACACCAGGCTGCGCTTGCGCATCCCCAGCAGGCACGCCGAGTCAGCCGTGTTGGCAAAGATCCGGCCTGGGAGGGACACGGGAATGTTTGGGAACCTCCTGGAGGCGAGTTCGGAATATTTGGAATCCACCAAGGATGTGCGAGGGAAAGGTGGGAATGTTTGGGAATCTTCAGGAAGGGGGGAACATCTGGGAAGTGAAGTTGGGAATGTTTGGGATCCTCCTGGAGCAGGGGTTGGGAATATTTGGCATCTTCCAGGAATATGGGAGGGGAGGTTAGGAATGTTTGGGATCATCCAGGAGCAGAGAACACTCCCCAGAATTCCACGGGAGGGCCTTTTGGGAATGTTTTGGGAATGTAGTGTCACTCTGGAGTCCCTGTGGGATCCTCCCTCCAAGCAGCACCCACCATGCCGGGAGCACTCCTTGATCTTCCCGGTGATCCAGGCCACGGCCTTGGCACCCATCTTGGTACCGAAATTCCGGTCGAAAGGGGTGGGGCTGCCTCCCTGTGCCAGGAGAATCCGAGATGAGCAGGGGAAATCCCCCCGACCCCGTTCTCAGGGGAATACCCAAACCCTCATGCCATTCCCAGGGAATTCCCACCTGCTGCATGTGCCCCAGGACGTTTTTCCGGCAGTCAAAGACCCCTTTGCCCTCCTCAGAGTAGAGGTTGTAGATGAAATCCGTGGTGTAGTTCTCATTGCAGCGCTCGTTCCTACAGCAGGGAGAGGGTCAGGTCCAAATCCCGCAATTCACCCCATCCCAAAAAATTCCACTGAGCCCAAACACCAGCACCACGGTGAGACCCCGAATCTTCCATTCCCAACCCATCACCACAGTGACACCCCAATTCCCCTGAGCCCAAACCCAATGCCCCCAGGGGTGACACGAGGTCCCCCCAAAGTCGGGGCCCACCTAAGCACAAGTCCCCTTTTCACAGTTGTCTTCATCTTCTCTGTCAGGTGGTCCACATTGGCCTGCGGGGTCAGGAGTGGAGTCAGGAGTGGAAACCTGCTCGTTCTGCACCACCCTGGTGACAGTGGGGACAGGGGACAGGGCTGACCCCACCTGCAGGTCACGGCTGCTGAAGGGCTCCTCGAAGATGTAGGCGGCGTCGGCCCCAGCCGCCAGCCCGGCCATGGTGGCCAGGTAACCGCAGAAGCCGCCCATGGTCTCGATGATGAACACACGGCGCTTGGTGCCCGCAGCCGACTGCTTGATCAGGTCACACGTCTGCAATGGGGACAGGATTTGGGGTCAGGAAAAGGGATTTAGGGCAGGGGATTGGGGTGCCTGCTTCAGACTGCTTGATTAGGTCACATGTCTGAAATGGGGGATTTGGCGTCGGGAAAAGGGATTTAAGGGCAGGGGAGTTGGGGATTTCCATCGTGGTCTCAGCCTGGTGATGGTGGTGCGAGAAGAGCTTTGGGATCAGGGGAATTTCGCTGCTTCCACTGAGGTCTCGCTATGGTGATGGTGTTTGGGATCAGGAGGCGTGTGGTATACAGGATTTGGAATCTCACTGTGGTGATGGTGTTTGGGATACAGGATTTGGGATCTGACCGTGGCGATGGTGATTGGCATGAGGGGGATTTAGGGCGGGTATTTGGGGTCTCACGGTGGTGATGGTGTTGAGGGCGGTGTCAGCGCCGATGCTGAAGTCAGAGCCGGGGACGTTGTTGGAGACAGTGGCGGGGACAATGCACAAGGGGATGCAGAGCTCCTCGAAGTGCGCCCGGCCCTCCACCAGCTCCAGGCCACCCGTGAAGGCCTGCAGGACAATGGGGACATCAAGGGACAATGGGGACACCAGCTCCAGGCTGCCTGTGAGTGCCTGGGGGACACTAACCACTCCCTGACCACGCCCCAAACATGCTCTGACCGAGCCCCACTGATCACACCCTGTGGACCTCGTCCTGTCCACACCCCACTGACCTCAAAGCCGCCGATGATTATGAGTGCATGGATCCCAAATTTGCTGATGTTGGCACTGATCTCCTCGAAATATTTCTTGGGCAGAGTCCTGGGAAGGGGAAATCCCCCTGGATAAGCCTGGCCAGGATGACCAAATGATCCCACATGGTGGGGTGGGGGGCGGGAGTCACCTCTTGGTGCCCAGTTTAGATCCTCCCAGCCCTGTCCAGCTGCCCACGGTATTCCAGCCAATCTCTTCCACCTGGGGGGTGAAACAAGGGATTAATGGGGTGGGAGAAAAATCTGGGGTCACACTCAGCCCTATCTGTGCGACACTGAGGTCACATGATGTCCCCTCAGCCCTGTCAGAACCATACTGGGGTCCCACAATGTCCCCTCGGCCCTCTCAGGGTGTCACACAATGTCCCCTGACTCGGGGACAGCAGCAGATCAGACCCACAGCAGGGCTGGAGTTTGTACAGGGGTTAAACACCCCCCTCCCAAGAAATTCCTGAGGAATCCCCATCCCTGCAGGGCCACAGCTGCCCCTTCCCAGGCCCTTTTCTTGCACCCTTTGCCCACAGGGATCTCCCCATCCTGAAATCCAGCCCCTCAAATCCATCTCACGCTTCCCAAACACTTTTCCCACTGGAATCTTCCCCATTCCAAAACCCGACCCTTCAAACCCATCCTGCACTTCCCACTCCCTTTTCCCACCTCTTTTCCCTATAGGAATCTCACCATCCTGAACGCCAGCCCCTCAAATCCATCCCAAACCCCATTCCCAGTAGGATCTCACCATCCCAACCCCATTCCCTGTAGGATCTCACCATCCCAAAGGCCAGCCCCTCGAAGCCGTCGTGCACGGCGAGCATGCGGTGGCCGTGGATGAGCCCGATCCTCACGGTCGCCCGCACGGCCGCGTTCATCCCCGCAGCCGGAGCGCCCACGTTCATCACGGCCACCGTGTACCCGCTCTGGGGACAGGGACAGCGTCAGGGACATGGGCACAGGGGTCAGTGGGCCTTAGGGGCAGCCGTGAGCTTGGGGTGGCCTTGGGGACAGCGGTAGGAATGGGGTGTCTTGAGATGGAATTGGGGTGTCCTGGGGTGGGATTTGGGTGTCTTGGGTCAAGTCCCTCCCCCGTGCCCTCCCCAGTGCCCCCTACCTTGGTGGCAGGCGGACGGATGTGAGCCAGCAGCTTGTAGACATTCCAGTTGTTCTGGAAGCTCCTAAAAATCGGGGAAACTGGGGGTTTGGGACATTTTGAGGACATTGGAATGCAAGGACAGGGACAGGGAGGTGCCACTCACCGGCCCCGCAGCTTCAATGCGTCCTCGAAGCGTCCCTCGTTCATGGCTGTGGTGACGTCCTTGGTCTGGGAGCACAGAGGGGGATTGGGGTAGGGTCTGTCCCTGCGGTGTGATTGGGGTGTTCTGGGGTGGGACTGGGGGGGGATCGGTGTTTCCTCAGTGGGACTGGGGTGGGATTGGGATGTCCTGGGGTGGGATCCATCCCTGGGGTAGATTTGGGGACACTGGAGGGTTTGGGGACATCTCAGGTGTGGGAACCATGCCTGGGCTGGGCCTGGGGCCACTCCCAGTGTCCCCCACCCCCACTCACCACCTGGACGCACTCCATGAGGGGCAGGCGCACAGCCTGGTTGCCAGACAGACTGACCACGCAGGCCGGTGTCTCCGGTGTCCCCTCCAGCAGCGCCATCACAGCCTCCACACCCATCCTGCTGGCCTGAGGGGACACAGGGGTTGTCACCTCCCAGGGGGGGCTCTCACCTCCGGTGGGAGCTGCCACCTCCAGGTCCCCTCATTTGGGACCAGAGCGAGGAAGGAGGTGCCCACCAGGATGCGGTCAAAGGCTGAGGGGGTCCCCCCGCGCTGGACGTGGCCTAGGATGGTCACCCTGGTGTCGTACCCCAGACGTTTCACCACCAGCTGTGGAGACACAGGAGAGCTCTGGGACTGGCCCCAAA